TGTTCTATTAATATGAAAGGTGATGCTTTTGCTCTAGCTTAATGATAAAACAATCTAGAGGTATTACATAATTGGCAAACCTCTTCAATTGCAATCATTGCATGATTATCTGCAACAGATGTGAATTCAATAAATGCTTTATCTTCCTCAAATGTCCATTTATGAAGTTTTACTGGGAATTTCTTTGATGGAGTCGGTTTAATCTTTCTGATAGGAAACTACAAAACAAACAGCAAAAGAGGCAATGTCAGTACCAGCACCATTAGACGACAACAAAGAAACGCATGGATTTTTACCATGATTGTGGGCATGCTTCTCCAGGAAATTTGTGCACTATAGGTTTTCTGAAATGCCACTCTCAGCATTAAAAAATATCATTGGCGTACGAGTGGACAGAAATTGCCCGACATTGTCATGAGTTTATTGATAGATGAACAAGAGGTATAAAATAGAAGGAACATAACTCCTATGGAAACTTGCAGAAATACTGTTTAAAGTCAATCTTAAAACAATTGCCCAATTTTTAAAGCTGCCCAACTAAACACTGACTTGAGGGTTGCAACCCCAAGCCTTGTACAACTATGGACAGAAATTCTCACAGGCCAAAAAGCATTAAAATACAATGTTACTGTTACAATGCACCCCCCCCCCCCTTTAACATCTCACTGTCTCATTTATAACCCATTGAGTGGCAGCACTCTCCACGTGAGGAGTAAAATCGTCTGGTGTTACACAGAGTAAAATACTAAAGTATGGTGCATCAGGGCACATTGCCATTTAAAGGGTTTAAAAAATACAATGTTTTTGTACATTCGTACTGTATTTTATGTTTGTAAAAACCTTTGTACTTTTATACCTTTGGTGATGTTCCAGGACGCTGAAACAAAGTTTGACTTGATGTGTCTCTGACTCTTATTAAGTTTCTCTGGAGTATCATCTTTAGAAGTATATACTCCAAAATAGCCGAATTCTATAATAAAATGAAAAAATACAGTTAGTGCAGCATAAGCACATCTAATCTTAAAAGTTACATCAAACTTAAAATATGTAGGAACATAATTATATGTGTATGTTTCAAAATTATCATGGAAATTGGCGGAAAATAGCTAGGAAAATATCGATTTGTACAATAGTTTCCTTCCCGCCATGATGATTATCACGCGATCTATTCCCGCCATCTGTGATAGAATATAGCAAAAGTACCCCATTTTCAAACCGCGATTACTAGTCAATTTCGTTGAGCTACTTTAAGTTTTAAAGTACTAATTGAAAGAACAAACTTTCCTTAATTCGATGGCGTGTTTTATTTTAATTTCCCCTCAAAAAAATGAATATAGCTTCTGCATTTTTTGAAAGCCACTTTTGTGGCGTGTCCACTGACCCGAATCAAGCATAATTACAAGGCGTAATTAACATCACTAAAAAACAATTCCTGTACCAAACAAGTCAAAAATAGTTTAATTAGGTTCTTAAATAATACAAATATAAAAACATACCTTTGAAAAAACGAGATATACGGAGCCAAAATCGCAATGTATTTCAACAACTTTTCGACAAATGTTCGTTGAAAATCGTAATTGTGAATAATAATGAGATGCAATGCATTGTGGGAAGACCCTCATTCCTCCTCTGGTATTTAGCCAGGAGAACCTGCACGCGAAAAAAAGTACAGCTAAAAACATGGCGGATTTTGGCCTTGGCTGACGGTATTTCCATGACAACTGGACCATAATTTTCATGGTAATTACCACTGACCAGGCTCGGATTTGAGCTCGCTGCAATGTCCACACCTCCTAGTTGCCTGAAAAAAACTTTAGGTTTTTGCAATTTTGCTCGGGTTTTACAGTAAAAAGGGAGTTTAAGCTTCATGTTTGCGGGAGCGCCAAACGGCAAGGCCGACTTTTCTTGGCATAATTTTCGTTCCATTTCTGCGTGTCATATTTTCTTTCATATGAAACAACAAGCCCATTTACTTTTTATTGCTTTATATCGTAGAATTTTTCTTTGCCTGACGTTTGTCGTTGAACGTGAAGCTTAACTCTCTATTGTGTAGTAAGTATAGGAGCAGGTCCTCCAGTTATTATACAGCCCAGTGACCCATGACCATATTTGTAGGGAAAATGCAATATTTGTAGGGGAACGTAGGGGGACATAGGGGAAAATTGCATATCGTGCTGTAGGGGATACGTAGGGTATTTCAGTGCCCGCCATAGGTGAAAATAGGTTGTCGAGAGTGGCAGCCCTGGTTGATTTGATGATTGATAAATTTCTTGCAAATATATTTCATTTTTGCTCGCATTTTTGCAAGATTTTGTAAATTTCAAAAGCTCTCTGAGAAAGGAACTGCGAAAGAATCGGCTAAAAGAAGGGAGCTGACGTTAACGAAGGTAAGTTTGTTTTAAATATTGATTTTATAATGAATTTAAAACCCGACGGCCTTTGCGTATATGAAACAACTAAACAAGACAGCATATAATTTCAGTGTGTGACGTGTGTCTTTAATATTGATTCCCTTTTTTATGATATTGAATTTTTTAAATAAATAAGAAAGCAAACTTATTTGCAAGCGAGAATTTTAAATAATTTTATTGCAAACTCAAAGTTTATCGATAAAGCCATTTTAAAAGGCAGTTTAGTTTTATATTTATAAAGAACACTAATGACTTTAAAACGCTTTGCGAAGCGTTTGTGGTTGAATTTTACCTTAAATCGAGGCTTATATTACATATAATAACATACCTAACATATATATGTTGGGAAATTAATAATTTTGTGATTAAAAGTGATATTTATAGGCGATTTTTCATTTGTAAGAATATTCTTAAAAAATTATCGTGTTACCATTACAACTCAGATACTTCATGTTCGGAAAATACAATGGTTTTGTCAGCAAGGCGAGGGTTTCTGCATGCATATATTTTCTAGTACATTTAATAAGATAAAGTACAACGTATGACCTTTCTGTAGCCGCTGGAAGCAAATACTCACATCGCATATGTTACACGGCAAAAAACGCTCAGGTTGATGCAATACTGATGAAAACAGGATTGAACAATGTTTTGCTGCCCACATAGCCTGCATGGCAGGCGGTACTTAGGAAATACCGCCTGCCGCAAAAGTGGGTGTAAATGAACTACCGCCCCTGAAGCATCAACGCTATTTATAGATGCATTAATTAAGTAAATATTCAAAATTAGCCACTCCCAAGCTGCTCCCAAGTCCCAACTGCCCAACATAAAATAAATTCCTTGATTCTCATCACCGCCCGACTGAATTTTAAAATCCTCGTGAAAACGTTTTATATTTCGTTATACAATATAAATGTACCGCCCGACAAAATAATTCAAGACATTTTTTTTATATTTTATATAGAGTTTTTATTGCCATTTTAAACTTCCAATTTGAAACAAACAGAATTTTGAGTGAAATTTCATTGTATTTTAAAGAAACCCAGTCATTCTGTCATTGTTCGTGGAGATACGAACTATTGATATATAAATTATATAAATATAAAATATAAAAAATAAATCTCCCACTGTCTTCGACATTTCAAAGTGTAGACTGTGTCGAGTGATGAGAATCAAGGAATTTATTTTATATGTGTTAATATAAACCAAGCTCGTTTAGCTGCCTTAAAACGGTGGTTTAATAAGCTCAAAATACAAAGCATGCAAGTCTATACTATAGATTCATCATCAGTCAACAACCAAACTGAAAGTATTGAACCTTATAGAACGATAGTTTTTACTTGTTTACAACTATACATATTCAACGGGTATATAAGAGTTTAACTGTTATTTGATAATTACTGCATCAACCGGCCCCTTGTTTATACTTTGGAGGTTCGTATATAATATCTATCAAGTATCTTTGTTTCAGAACATGACTGATAGGCCTATATGGAAATCCCACTGTTCGATTCAGTGAAGAAATATCTCCTAATTTCTATCGATAGTTTTAGTAAAATGTCAACATTATTTCGATTTATGGCCTTTGAAAGTCAAGCGAGATAGTATATTATCAAATTAATACGCATGTAATTGTCTGAACGAAAATATAGACTAGCCCATACCTTTCGCCGATCATAACTTCGGCCCCTTCGGACGTATCTTCTTTGTTAAATAATATTCTTGTTCGAATCTCTATCAAAAACACTATTTAGAGTGTTATTTTTCAGCTTGTATCTTTTAATTTGCTTCTTTTATTATGTTATTCCATTTCTGGTCTGACTTGACGTGAACTAATTTCAAAACGCAGAGTTTCAAAACGTCAAAACATTTAGTTAATGATTAACATTTAACCGAATTTAGCCGTTGATTGACAACTACATAAAAATACTAACCAATCCGTTTTTCCCGTTCACCAGCGGACGGGTAATTCAAAAACCCCTAGTTTTGCGGCAGACGGTATTTCCTTTGCCTCCCTAATTTTCGCTGCCTGTAGAAATACCGCCTGCCGCGCAGGCTACTGCCCACATTGTTCATAGCTGTCAACAACATTGAACCATTTCGTTACACCCGATTCAGGCTCAACAGCATTGTTCAATATTGTTGACAAGTGTGAACAACGTGGGCAGCAAAACATCGTTCAATCCTGTTGAGCAACGGTCTCGGCGTTTTTTGCCGTGTATGTAAATACTGAAAATATTCAAATTTGTGTTAATAAACATTTACATAAAGGCGCTATTGGTCACTTTCACTTCCTATTCTATCTGGCAAGCTGGACTGAATGACACCATAATTCATTTCGCTAATCAACATAATCGTAAGTTACTAATTTAACGGCTAAATTAAGATTTAAGATGAGATAAATCTATATTACCACTTTCAAAAGTTCAAATATAGTAAAATATTAAGCCTAAACATTCCATTTTTGTAGTTTCTCGCCTGACGCCAATTAAAAGTTGTAGACTTTGCCGTGATTGCAATTTAACCAAATGATGTAGGGATATACTTACAATCATTCCCAAATGGCAAATACTGACAATTTATACAACGAACATGCCTCGAAAAAATGCCCCGAAACCTTTTAAACGTGCCAAACTATCAGGAATCGGACGATTTTTTAAGGATCCACAGCAAGTTGAGCAAACCAGTACCCTAACAAGTCACGCATCGTCTGATTCTGGTAACAATCTACCTTCCACGCCATCGACGTCAATTGTAAATCAGCGGCAAAGTGACGTAATTCATGTCCACAATCCTCCAACGTCTTTGGCAGAGTTCGCAGAAAATGACGAAGTGGAAAGCCAAGGGATATCTTGTGCGGCTATATCTCGACCCTCGCTGCCCAATGAACAACGACCTTCCTCTGTAGTATCTGGCTCTAACAATTTGCTCACAAGTAACAGATGCTCACCTGCAACAGTTTCGGCTTCGAGTCCATTGACTGCAAAATCGAACAATTTCCTGAATTTGAACAAGCCTAATCATCCAGAAGTGTCTGTTATCCCTGCTCAGAAATTATCAAGGCGAACACTTTATTTTCAATCAGAGTGGTATAAAGATTACGAATGGATTCATTATGATCTTGATTTGAAAATAATTATGTGCTTCCACTGTTCAAAAGCTAGTGCTATGGGGGCAATAGATTTAGCCCATAATAAAGATCCGGAATTTATTTCAGAAGGATTCAACAACTGGATTAAAAGCAATTGAAAAGTTTAAGTTGCATCAGACATCTCATACACAAGTTTTGTCCGTCAATCTAATTGCAGCGGTGAAATGGCCATCGGTAAGTGCGCAAATACAAACGCAGAAACAAAAGGAACAAGCAATAGCAAGAAACTCCCTTTTGAAATTGTTTACTTCAGTATTATTATTTACTGCGACAAGGCTCAGCATTTCGTGGCCACGATGAAAGTGATGGAAGTTATTTACAGCTCCTAAAGCTTAGAACGGAAGATGTTCCTGATGTGCAGATGTACAGTATTTGAGAAATACAACAAATTTTACTTCGCCTTGTGCACAGAACGAGATGATGGAAATGTTCAGTCACCAAATTTTACGGAAGATTGTCAGCGACATTCAACATAATGAATTTTAGGCTGTAACTGCCGATGGAACACAGGACATAAGCGGTCAAGAGCAAGAGTCATTTTGACTGAGGCACGTTGACTCAGACCTATATGTACACGAAGATTTTATCGGTCTGTATGAAGTTCCCAGTACTACCGGTGACGTTCTTGCTCGTACGGTCTTTGATGTCCTGGCTCGGAGTGGATTATCCATAAGCAATATGCGTGCTCAAACATATGATGGTGCCGCTAACATGAGTGGTTGTTACTCTAGATGTAAGGCAAGGGTGCAAGAACGACAACCACTAGCACTCTTTTTCCACTGCGGATCACATGCTTCCAATCTTGTAATGCAACATGCTGTAACATCTTGTTAATTAATTCGAGATTCCCTGCAGTGGTTGAATGAGCTAGGTGTCCTTATGAAGAGATCTGACAAGTACAAGGCGATATTCCTGACAATTTGTGAATCAACCGAAGATGACAATCTGCATCCCACAGCGATCAAGCCCCTTTGTGCCACCAGGTGGTTATGCAGACTAGCAGCCATACAGTCAGCATTCGATTAGGCTCGATTTCCAGCCGGCTCCGGGGAATCACTCCCCGAATTGCCGGCTGGACGCATGAGATCGCTACCTTGTCTGTGACGTTATGAAAAAATTAATTATGCATCTCAAGGTCACCGGAAGTGACTATCAATATGGCGCATGTGAAGAGTGTACATTTCAATCAAGTTAATTCTGACAAACTTATAAAAAGCAATTTTGCAATTTGTCATTGCGTTCTTAATTAATTAAAAAGCTAATTTGACAGGAATATTTATATAAATAACACGTATTTTCGCTGCTCTATCGCGTCGAAAAGTTTTTGGTTAGTACATAATTAGGATAGGATCTGTTACTGTTTTTTGCTTTACGACAATTTATATTTATGTTCAATCAAACAATATTACATTAAGTTATAGTGTTTTTGATAATTATATTTGTTGTTCACGTTTGTACTGTGGCAAACAAAATAATTCGAACCAAAACTTCTGAGGACAAATCTCCCAAACAAGTCCACATTTAACTTAGTATAAAGTCAACTTAGATTTACATGTATACTGCAGTTGTCACAAATATGAAATT